GCACCTGTGGGTACCCAACCTGCCAGCCTGCCTGCAGCCCCCCAGGAGGGAGAGTTGCCCCCAAACTGGTGACCCCAGGGGACTCATCCTTAGTCAACCTCCTCACAGAATGATGCTCACCTCGGAAATTGAGTGCGGATGCAAAGGTCTGGTGCATGGGGATGCTGATCCTGCAGGGACACAGAGGGGAGAGCTTAGCACCAGCCAGCCCCAGCCCACAGGTGTCTGCTCACAAGGTTGGAGCCCCACCTTCTTCTGCCTCCCTGACACTCACCGGTTCTCCTCGCCCTCCAGCAGCTTGCGGTATGTGGCAATCTCCACATCCAGGGCCATCTTGACATTGAGCAGGTCCTGGTACTCGCGCAGGTGCCGGGCCATCTCATCCTTCAAGTGCCGGATCTCCTCCTCCAGGCGGGCAATGGTGTCCTGGTACCCGCCAGCCTCCCCTGCAAAGCGCTCCTCCATCTCCCGCATCTGGCGCATCAGCGAGTCATTCTAGAGGGATGAGGGACTCAGTGAGCAGGGGAACCAGGAGGAGCCAGGGCTCACCTGGGGTGGGAGCTGGGAATTCCAGAGAGTCCTGGGGAGAGCCGTGGTCAGCCCTGCGGTGAGTCAAGCTGATGGGTGACTGTTACGTTCCATCTGCTGAGCACTGGGCAATCTGGGCATGTGCTGGGCAACTCCAGCACCTGGGTCCCTATGCCCCCCAGCAAAGCCATCCTACTTCAGAGGTGGGGCACAGAGAGCTGCAGGAGCCCCACATGGCTGATTCGGGGTGGCACTGACACACTGGTGGCTGCTGACTGGCTCCTGTGACCATGACTGTGTCAGAGAGGGACTGTTGTTCTTTGTTTGTTTGCAATCACCTTTCCAGCCTGCAACCAGACACCCCGACTCCTGCAGCCGCCTGCCTGGAGCCTCCCAGGCAGGATCATATTTTACAATCTGTGCCTTGATCCCGGGACTCTGCCAAAACACCTCACAAGAGCACAGGCCACCACTGAGGGAGGCACCGCCCAAATGTAGGATACAAATCTCCCCATGGCAGCAACTCGGAGAGCTGGGAAGAGCCTCCCACCCCAGAGATGTCACAGAGGTCCCTGAGCAGCCCTGGAGCAGCAGGTCCCTGCAGGGAAGCTGGCGGTCTCCCCAGTGCTGCCTCCAGCTCACCGTGCCCTTGAGGGCATCGATCTCGCAGGTGTAGGACTGGATCTGGTGCCGGTACTCCAGCATCTCCTGCTTCGCCTGCCGCAGGGCATCATTGTTCTTGTTGGCGGCTTGCGTCAGGTCAGACACCTGGGGAGAGACCAGAGGGGTCAGTGGGCATGGCCACTGGGATGGCCAGGACCCGCTGTGCTACAGCCAGCCTGGAGCCTGCCTCCTCCTGCACCTTGGACTTGTACCACTCCTCGGCCTCAGCGATGTTCTTGGCAGCGATGCTCTCATACTGAGCACGAATGTCCCGCAGTGCAGCCGTCAAGTCGGGCTTGGAGATGTCCATCTCCACCTGGATGTGCTGCTCCTGCAGCTGTGCCTGCAGCTCCCGGATTTCCTGGGTAGGCAAGGTGACACCTCAGGGCACCTGTTCTGTTCCCTCCTGCCACACGAGTGCCATTGGAATAGGAGGCCACCCCTCACCTACCTCTTCATGCACCTTCTTGAGGAAGGCTATCTCCTCCTGCAGGGACTCAATACGTCGTTCCAGGTCGATGCGTGCCAGTGTGGCCGCGTCCACGTCCTGGGGGGCACACAGAGTGAGTTGTAGCAAGGAGGTGCAGGGAGAGCATAAGAGCTGGAAAGTCCAGAGCTGTGCCTAGGGCCATGTCCTGGTGCTGGGGCCAGGCTGCTGGGGGGAGATAAGGATGGAAAGGGAGGCTGGGGGTCCTATGGCGCATGGGGGGACAGGTACTCACAGCTCTGAATGCAGCAAGATTGTTCTCAGCTTCCTCCTTCAGCTGTATCTCCTCCTGCAGCCTGCAGGCAGAAAGGGGAGGTTAGAAGGGTCCACAGGAAGAAGTCCCTTCTTGGTGATGTCCCCCTGAGCTGTCCCTAAGCCCAGCATGGCCCAGTGGGAAGACAGCAGATTGTCCTGCTTTCCCTGCAGGCATCGGAGGGCTGGCAGGAGGCCAGGGGCTCTTCCTCCCATTCCCTATTATAGTCAACGCTGGAGAGATCACAAAGGCATGAGGTCAGCTTGGTGCCACGCACGCTGCCCCGGCCCTTATAGGGGAGAGTGACCAGCAGCTGGGAGGACAGGATGCAGGATCTGGCACAGGGGGTCCCAGAGATGGCCGTTCCAAGGAGAGCAGGAGGACAGGCAGGTCTCAGTGATGCTGTAGGATGAAGCATGGAGCAGGGACTGCTGGGTGTGGGAGCAAGGTCAGGGCTGGAAATCCAGACTATGCCAGAGGAGGGGACAGTGCTGCGGGCTGCAGGTCAGTGGGAAGGCAGTGGGGAGGGGATGGAGGTGCCCAGGGGGTGCTGACACACGGGGTGACAGGGTGTTGACTCATTTGTTCTGGGCCCTACTCCTGATCTGTCACTAAAGGTTCCTCTATGTCACCACCCCCAATCCTCCAGGATCAGGGCCTGAGCCCCACTAGGACCCCAGTGCTGTCCATCTGTGGCAGGGGCTGTAGTTACAGAGGGAGGCAGCATGCCGTGTCACCCCTGGGAGGTGGGTACTCAGTGTCCTCAGGGCACAGGGTCCAGGAGGGAAGGTGCAGACTTGCATCAGAACATGCGGCACCCCCTGAGCATCCACTCCAACTGCCAGGTCTCCCAGGCTGGTTAGTCCCTGTGGGGTCCCTCAACCTGGATGCTCTTGTGGCTAATGCCCGCTGGCCCCAGCTCCCTTCCCCATAACTAGCCAGGTCCACAGCATCCTTAGGGGCTCCCACTTCTCACAGGTCACCATGGACACCCACAGCAGGCCTGGACCCATGGAAGGGCAGCCGCTTCCTCCCCTCCCTCCTTCACATCTGGAGTTGATGAAGCACCCCCCTGGGTTATCCTCCCCCTCGCTTCCGCCTGCCTCACTGCCTCTGTCCACCTATTCCACAGAGCTCAGCTCACCCATGGGCTTACTAGCCCTCCTTGGTGTGAGCAGAGATGGGGACCCCAGGGTGAGGTGCACTTCGATCTCGCAACTCTGGGTGTTCTGTGGCATTACAGGATCAGCCCCACTGCAAAGGAGGGCATAGAGGACACCTCTGTTACCATAGCTGTCCTGTCCACTGGGTGCTGCCTGGGCATCCAGAGAACGGTCAAGGGGAACAGACTAGTGGGGACATGATGGGCCCTGACTGTGAGGCACAAGGATGGCAGTAAGCACCCGAGGGGCTGCCAGGGCGAACTCTGCCACCTCCCATGCCTAGGGATGTAGAGACACGGATGGATGCCCACAGAGATACTCCAGGACGCCCCACTCACTTCTGCTTGAGCTTCTGCAGGTCATCGAGCAGGTTGTCACGCTCGACTTCGACACGAGCCCGCTGGTTGGTGAGCAGTTCCACCTGGCGCCGGAGTTCCCGCAGCTCCTCCTCATACATCTCAGCCACACGGGTGGGCTCCTTGCCACGCAGGCGGTTCACCTCAGCCACCATGAGGGCATTCTGCTGCTCCAAGAAGCGAACCTTCTCGATGTAGTTAGCGAAACGGTCATTGAGCTCCTGCAGCTCTACTTTCTCATTGGTGCGGGTTTGGAGGAACTCCTGGTTCATGGCATCGGCCAGGCTGAAGTCCAGCAGCTCGCCGGCACCTTGGTAGGCACTTTGGTAGGAGCGCAGGGGTGTCACACGGGTGGTGCGGAAGCTGGACAGGCTGGGGACGGCCGAAGTGCGGG